TCTCAACAAAGAAAGAGAAAATATAAAAAGAACCAAACAGAAAATTTGGAGCTGAAGAATTCAATAATTCAATAACTGAACTGAAAAATTTGCTAGAGGAACTAAATAGCAGATGAGTTCAAGCAAAGAAAAAAAATCAGTGAACTCAAAGACAAGTAATTTGAAATTATCCAGTTAGAGGAGCATTAAAAATAATGAAAAAGTAAAGAAAGCCTACAGGACTTATAGGACACCATCAAGCTGGTGAAATAAACACATGGAAGCCAAAGAAGAAGAGAAATGGACAAGGAGTAAGAAAACTTATTTAAAGAAATACACAAAGAGTGCAATGCGCACCACCCGAAGGATGGACATATTTGAAACTCGGACTTAGGCGGGGAGGAGGGGCAAGGGCAACATACGTAACCTAAATATCTGTACCCCCATAATATGCTGAAATAAAAAAAAAAGATATTAGAGGAAATACCATGAACACAGAAAATAATTGTATACATAAAAAAAAAAAGAAATAATGGCTGAAAATTTCCAAAATCTAAGAAAAGAAATGGACATCCAGATTCAAGAAACACAATGAATCTCAGATATGATGAACTCAAAAATGTCCACAACAAATACATTATAATCAAATTTGAAAGTCAGGAGTGCCATGAGCAAGGTGACAGAGTAGGAGATGCTAGCTTTTGTTCCCCCACAAGAAACAATTAGACAGCTATCCATAAACAAAAATAGCCCTAGGAGGCCTCATGATTCTGACTAAAAACCTACAGCAACACAATGCTGCAAAAAAATGCAGAATAAGTGCACAGGAACGATTGCTAGGGAGACTGGCATACCTGAGACATCTGAAGACATCCAGGGACAAGGAAGGAGGATGAGGGCTATTAGTATCAGACATGTGGTGGGTACCACTGCAGTCCCCAGTGGCTTGTTCTGCAGCGGCTTCTAGCAGCATTTACTGTTGAGGATTTCAACAGCCCCTGTGGCACCTACAGACTCTCTGTGGCTTTCACAGCGGAGGTCGTCTTAGTGCTTGTCTGAACAGACACAAGTAACCTGCTCTGGAGAGGACACTGGCAGTTTTGCCACTGGGGCAATCAACTGCCACTGCCACCAAGGATCCCCTGGAGAGTGAGATTCTGCTGTACCCAATCCCCCAAAAAGGAGCCACTGTTGTGCTGCCCCAGGACAGTGGCCACCATCACCCCAATCCTGTGCAAACCCTGGACCTCAGAGTTGCTGTTGCTCCTTGCATGCCCATGCTTTAGACCCCACCTTCTGAAACCAGTCTAGACATGCTTGCACCACTGACACTGGAGCCATTACTACAGCTGGTGTGTCTATACCCCAGACCTTGGAGTGGTCTGTGATCCCTCGTGAGCACCTGCACTTAGGACACCAGAGTCACCACTGTAATGGGAACAACCATGCGTTAAACCTCAGAACTGGTATAGCTCCCCAACTGCTCCCGAAGAACCCATGCTTTACATATTATTACCAGTGCTAATGTGGAGACACCTATGCCCCTCACACTGGTGCCACTGCCACCCTAAATTCCAAGTTGTGGTCTCTCCATGCACACCCATGCTCCGGGCTCCCTTTTTTGGCCACTCCACAGGCACCATGCATCAACCATTAGTGCCACCACCACCCCAGTAAACCCATGAGCCATATTTTACGCTGAGGGATATGCTCAGCCACAGCTTTCTCCATGAAAGAAAAAGACATTAGGAGGACTCTGGCAGATTTTGCCACCAAAGACTCAGACAGCCGTCACTGCCACTGTAAACATTCTCAGCCTTGGCCCCTAAGGACCCTTGAAATCTTTGCCAATGCTGACCTCAGCTGACAGACTTCATGGAGACTATGCTTATCCCCCTGCAACGACTGGAACTACCACACCACACCCAGCTGTTGCACTCCCATCCACATAGGTAAAGATCTTCTCCCAATGAAACCAGTCCATAAAGTATAAAAGAGGTGACTACTCCATCAAATACAAAGGCATCAGCATAAGGCAACAAGAAACATGAAAAATCAAGGAAACATGATACCACCAGGGAACATAATAATATTCAAGTAACTGGTCCAAAGAAATGGAGATCTACAATTTACCTGAACAAGAATTACTAATAATTGCTCTAAGACACAAAGAGTGCAATGCGCACCACCCGAAGGATGGACATATTTGAAACTCGGACTTGGGGGGGGGCAAGGGCAACATAAGTAACATAAATATCTGTACCCCCATAATATGCTGAAATAAAAAAAAAAAATAATTGCTCTAAGGAAACTCAGCAAGCTACAACAGAACAGATAGACAACTCAATGAAACCAGAAAAACAATATATGAACACCACAAAAAGTTCAATAAAGAGACAGAAATCATAAAAAATAACCAAACAGAAATTCTGGAGCTGAAAAATAAAATGAAAAATGCAAGAGAGAGAGAGAGAGAGAGAGAGAGAGAGATAGAACAGCAGGCTTGATCTAGCCAAAGAAATAATCTGTGAACTTGGACACAGGTCATTTCAAAATATCTTGTCAGGCTGGGCGTGGTGGCTCACGCCTCTAATCCTAGCACTCTGGGAGGCCGAGGCGGGCGGATCCTTTGAGCTCAGGAGTTCGAGACCAGCCTGAGCAAGAGCGAGACCCCGTCTCTACTAAAAATAGAAAGAAATTAGATAGACAACTAAAAATATATAGAAAAAAAATTAGTCGGGCATGGTGGTGCATGCCTGTAATCTCAGCTGCTAGGGAGGCTGAGGCAGGAGGATCGCTTGAGCCCAGGAGTTTGAGGTTGCTGTGAGCTAAGCTGACACCACGGCACTCTACTCAGGGCAGTAGAGTGAGACTCTGTCTCAAAAAAAAAATATATCTTGTCAGAGGAGAACAAAGAAAAAGTTAGGATAGGAATGAGGAAAGTCTATGGGATTTGTAGGACACCATCAAGAAAGCTAAGATTTGGAAAAGTGATGTCGGCAAGATGGTGGTATAGGAGATCCCAGCCTTTCCTCCTCTCACAAAAAGCAACCATTTGG